CCCGCCTGCCGTAGCGAAGCCAGACGCCGGAGGGTACGCGGCGCCGTGGGCTGTCGTCTCACCTGGTTGTTTTTTCTCTTCACAGTCATCGTGAACCCGCAGACCGTCCTTCGCATAAACACCATAGAAATTTTCCCCGGATTGTCGTGATCGACCCGTCAGCTGCTGCGTCGTTGGGGTTTATTACCGCTTCGGGCAATTACAGCAATAAAGCTGCCGTGTCATCGGGAAGTTCCGGACTTCTTGCTGTCGTCGGAAATGCAAATCTATACGTACTTTCTTTTATAAAAAAATGAAATATTTCGAAAGCCCTGTTATGTGAACCTCAATGGTGTTTGTGCGCCAGGAGTTTACACAACCCAGGGTGCACAGCCAGCTGCCGAGCTGTTCCGTGCCAACGGGGTCCACCGTTCCCTGCGCACCCCTCCACGTACTCGAGGAGTTCAGGCTCTCGGCCATGTCTGAGAAATACCTTGGGCTTAGCGGCTGTGGAAGAAAAGGGCCGTCCGCCTCCCCGGGCTGCGGCTCCGAGCCTGGGAGGCAGAACCCCTGTGTGTAACGAGTCCATCCGAAGAGCCTCTTGCCATGCCGAGTTCCTCGTGTCCTTGCAAGTGCCCTTGCGCTGGGGCTGTGGCCACGCTTCAGGCCAGCCGAGAGGCCGGCGTGTTTGGGTGAGCTGATCTGCCCTCTGGAAACACTCCTTGCTCTCCTTGGGCTGCAGTTACGGCCCGGTGAGTAGGTGAGGGGTTTTGAAGAGTGCCAAGTGCCCCCTGCCCCTTCTCTCCCGACACAAGCCCTGCTGCTCCCTTCACATCGTTCCTGGCGTTGTGTGGCTTCAGGGAGTGTCCTGAGGTCCAGGCTGGCCCACAGCAGATATGGGAGAGCACCCTAACCCCAACCCAAATCTGCTCCCAGGTCATGTTAAGTGGTGAAAATCCTTAAGGATTGGCAACAGGAGATGCAGCTGGGAAATTCCCCTCTTAAAGATGAGCCCAGGAGGCTGTCGCGTGGCGATGAATTGCCCGTGTGATGCCATCGAAACAACAGACGCTGATGGCTCAGGAGGGGTTTGGTGCCTATTCCACAGGTTTGGTGCTTGACCTACGGAGTGTATTTTCACATCTAGATCTCAGGATTTCCTCTCTTTGCACATCGAGCACCATCCCTTCCCGAGCCTTGTGCGGAAGGCCGGATGCAGCAGGCTTATCCAGCCGAGGGCTGCGTGTGTTTGTGGACTGCAGTGACAACCAGGGGGGGATTCCTAGAGCCTTCAGCATGCTTTCAGGAGAGCTGCCGCATTCCCCACGGCTCCGAGAACTGGTAAGTGCGCCCCTTCACCTCGTCGCCTCTCCAGGGAACCTTGCTCCTCCTGAGTCCGCAGGTGGGGGTCCGTGTGCACCCCCGCGGTGGCTCCTTTGTAGGAGCTGCCCACAAGCCTGTGCTGAAGGCAATGCTAGTTTTGAACACAGCTAGGTCTGGGCCTTGTCCTGCCCTTCCAGTCGCACGGGTCCGTATAAGCCCTGGGAGGTGACTTCAGGTGCCGTAAGGGACGAGCTGGACGGCTCGGCTGTGTTTCGCCTGGACACTTCAGCTGGAGAAGGCTCCGGACATGCTCGGGTTAAGCGGGTTCTCTGCTCGCCGGAGGGAGATGGTCAGCGGCAGAGGCTGACTCATCTCTTCCCCTTCAGTCTGGCACGAGCAGCCCTTGGGAGACGCTGTTCCTTCTCTGCTGCCGCTTCCAGGCGGCTGGACACCTACGTTTCCAACAGCTCAGGGTAGCGCGAGGGCAGCAGCCGCGGGCCGCTTCCATCCCGGCATCCTTCCTGCCGAGCTCTTGGGTGTGGAAGGCGGTGGGGGGACACCTCGGCCAAACACCCTCTCCCAGAGGTGGCTCTGGGAGCGCCGGCCCCAGCCGCAGTGCTGCGGGCGGGCAGGAGGCCGTGGAAACCTGCGGAAGCTGGTTTACTGGAAACCTCACGGTCCTTTGGAGTTTAAGGCATGGGAGTGCTGGGGGTAGGAAACAGCACGTGTGTCTTGGCTTGAAGGGGGTGCAGGGGGAATTTTCTGTCCTCCATTACGGAGAAACCCTTGGAAATAATGAGAGACTTCGAGGCTCAGCGATACGGAAGGAAGAGCCCAGCGTTAGTGTCTCAAGTTGGTCTCTGAAACGGGTCCCCCCCAAAAAACCTTTGGGAAGCGTACACCTAATCCAAGTGAGATAGTAAATGCAGTTAGAGGGGATTCACAGCGGATTTTAGAGGAGAAAAATGCAGGAAGGGAAAACTGAACCAATATTGGCAAGTCCTGGGGTTGGCTTTGAAAATCATCTAATATAAAATTAGAGCCAAATAGTCAGGTTTTGTTGAAATGATTCATCCAGGCTGAGGACAAAGGGGGTGTTTGCTTCTCACTGTTTTCTTCAGGGGAATTCAGAGTAAAAGGGTGAAGGCCCAAGTCTCCGTTTGGGTTCATGGCTTGGGGGGTGGCTGCTTGTGGTGCCCTGTCTGGCTCCAAACGCGGTTTGCCACCCCTCAGTAGTTCAGGAGCAGAAATTTCTCAACAAAGGAGGCTTTTTTTTCCCTGAGCACTGATTCGTAGTGGAAATGTATCTGTTAGGACAAAAATCTTGTTGGACGGCGTGTCCGATGGGGGTGGAATTTCAGAGGTGCTTTGCCCCGAGCCTAAAGATTTGGCGTTTGGGCGACGGGACGAGAACCAGGCTCCTGCCATCCAGCCCTCCCAAGCACGACAGCGGCGCTTGTCCCCCGTAACCCCCCGCGGTGCTGTTTGCCTGGTGTAAATACGGATCCGCCTCCCACGGCAGAGCCAGAGCGGAGGGCATCTGCGCTGAGTCAGACCCGAATTCCAGGGCGTGCTCCCTGCGGAGCCGCTGGCTGCTCTGGTTTCTCTCTCGTGCTTTCGAAGAATGCCAGTGAGACCCCGCTTCGCTCCCGGGCGGAGGACAAGAGGCTCTGCCCCCCTGACCTTCTCCACAACAAGGACGCGTTGTCCCGCCGGTCGGGCTGCTGGGGGGTTCGCTCGGGGGTGCCGTTGCTGCTCTGCCAGCTCCGTGTCACCCCCACGTCCCCCCGTCTTGAGCACGCAGCACCAGGTTCCTGGCCCGGCTGCTCTTGGGGTGCCAGAGGGGCCGTGCGGTTGTCCCCCAGGACACCCCTCGCTCCCCCGCCTGTTACCCCTTGGCAGGAGCGACGGGAGGGCTTTGGCCCAGGTCTGCTTGAGCGTGCGTACGTGCTGCTGCACGAGGGATCCATGAGCCGCCAGCCCGGCTCAACGTCAGACAATGTCAGCCCCGCCGGGACCTCATCCTGCGCCCTCGGGAGAGCGATGGGCCGCGGCACCTTAATTCCTTTGCGGCTGCGTTCCTGTTTTCCTCCCGCTCAGACACAGACGCTTTCAGGAGTTGGTTCGGAGCGAGGTGTCGGTCGTTTAAAAGCTGTTAAACCCTCCAGCGGGACGCGGCTGTCACGGCTCCTCGGCTGCAAAGGCTGCAGCTTCGAGGGGCTTGGATTTGGGTTTCGCATCCTGACGACAACGTCGTCGTGATCGAAGGGGAAATGGCCCGTGTTGGTCATCCGACAGGATAGCGCTCTCCAGAGCTCTGTCTGGACGAGTTTCAAATGACCTTCGTGATGGGGTTCCTCTTCCTGCCTTTGGCACGTTGGTCTGTGTTCTAAAAGAAGCGTCACGAGCGAAGCCGTTCCTCGCAGCGTGACGGCTTCGTGCGCATCCGTGATTTGTGCAGCCTAATGCAGCGGGATGGACGTGGCAAGCGCCAGCAGCCTTCCTTCCCCTCGGCCAGCTTCTGCGGACCAACAAAAGCCCCACCAAACTCTCCTTGGGACCCCCAGGGCCAGCAAAGGGATTTACCGACTGGGTTATGATAGCGGGACCTGCTGCCGGCGTTTGTCCTGGGGGAGTGGCGAGGCAGCTGGAACAGCCCTTGGGACGTGTCGGTCGAGCCTCTGGGGCGGAAGGGAAACGCTGTTAATATGCCCTTTCGATGTGTCTTTTTTCCCTGTTGGCTTGGCAAAGGTGTCTTTGAACTCTTAACACGGCGCCGGATTTATTTTCCCAGCGTGATCCGGCCACGTTCTGGCTGCGCGTGGAAATACGCTTTGGCGGTTGGAAATCAGCAACAGACAGAATGTGACACAAGGGAACTGCGGTGGTTTTTCTCTTGCACTGGATGTTTTCTTGTCTCTTGTGACCCAAAAAAACAGCCTCTTCACTAGGCAGAGAAAGGGAATGCTTCA